TTGTGCATTCCCGGCGACACGAGCAGACGTGTTGTTTCGAGTTTTCGAAATTAGAACGTGGAAGCCTGCGGAATTTTGCATGACAAAATTTTATCTCAACTCTCGAAACTGGAGCGGGCGAACTTTCATAGAATTAACCTTCGCAGAATGTTAAACGACGCGATGAATTCAGAATTTACAACTTCGATCGATAGCAGTAGAATTTGGAAGAATTTAAATGCAGACTCGGAGGCTTTAATTTTTAGTCGAACGTCTCAACTTTGAGAGAGGATCATAAATTTTAATGAGCTGCGAAGACGAGAAGCGCTAATTTCTACTCGCGAAATGTCCTCGATTTAAGACTTGTTACGTGGAAGGAGAAAGATCGGCGACATTTTCACGTCAATTTCGTGAGTTTCTTTACTGTGAGATGGATCATAGCTCTGGGCGAACTTTTATTTCCCTTTGGAGTCTATCTTTGGTGTCCTCGTAGACACGCGTCTGCTCGCAGAATGCTGCCGAGTTCTATTTTGAAGAGCCACGGTGTCCTCGGTTCGCGTCTCTGGAGATTTACGGTTGCTCGGAACTATGCGTCCATAGATTAACGTAAAACTCCATCGTTTTTCATTGCATTTTTCCTGCTAAACGACGCGAGAACGACAGAGAACGCTTTGCACTCGAATTTTTGACAACATAGCGACACAGACACGCGTTCGCTTTTTCTTCTCATATCGACTCGCAGTTTCAAAAATGAAGTTAAATAAACTCACAAAAATGCCTCACAAAATTTGTCAGATTTACAGACAAGACAAAGTTCGAACGACTGCCATACAGCCGTTAGATATGCATATTTATTATTGGTTATATGCTGGAAAAATACCTGAAAGGTTACATAAAGCAATTGAAATTCCAATCACGACGGAATAGAAATTTTCCTGAATACTTGAAGGACCACGAGTTTCGAAACATCTGCAATTTCATTTGATAAAAGATATCGAAACTGTCGCTCGAGTTAATTAAAAAAAATACTAACTGAGTTTAAAGATCTACCGAGAAGAATTAAATAAGATAAATCTGCTACAAACGAAGTAAAATATTAAAAGCATGAAAAAATAGTGTACAGACCCAGTTTCGAGTGCAAAGGGTTAAAAGACCGAGGGAGTTAAAGACACTTTCCTGCCTACTCCACATTCTATCGAATTACCCAAATGAACCGCTCCAGCACTCTTGAAATTTCTAATCAAGAAATCCTTGAGCGAGGATTACGGAATTGCACGCGAAAGAATGACGGTTCCCAAAGAGCGTTAGATGCAAAGATCCAACCAGCGATTTCTCCGCTTGCGGAATGTCGGAGGCGAAGATCGAGACCGACACGTTCCAACATCGTGCGATCATCTCCGAAAAAATCGAGCAAGGGTGGACCGTGGAGAAAGGGAAGGCGTACTCGGCCGAGGAATACCAGGACGGGTCCCCATGAAACGCGGTGAGCAGAGATCACGGGACACTGCGTGAAAGAAGAAACGCACTCGCGGTGGTCTCGCGATCGAGAGCACGGTTTGGCGATGCAGCCGACAACGACAGCGACAGCACAACTGGCGGCTGTCCTACCGCACCTCTGCACATCCACCCACGCTATATCGATCGTTCCTCCTCTCCCGCCTAAGCCTCCACCCCTCTTCGACCTCTTCCTCGCTTTTCCGCCTTCGTCGATAGTACCTAGTGTGCCTCGTGGTGGCGAACGCCGGTACTGTTAATAGTACCATTGCCGATGCTATTTGTACATTGGCTCGACCATCGAGGACGAGCGGTATTACCGACGATCGACGCTGCCTTGCCACCGACACCGGAAGACACGCTCGACTAAGGAGAAATCCGTGAGAAAGACGAACTGGAGCACCGGGATCCACTCTATCCGTTAGGCCGCTCTTTTGCTCCTCTTATCTACTTCCACGATTTTTGCAACTCGGAATTTTCCTCTCGATGTGATCATTGCGGTTGTAAAAATTGATGGAAGATAGCGTAAGAACTGTATGCAAATGGTACACTATCCTACCGTTATCTTTACTCGTGATACTCATAGTCTTCGATCTCGATCGTTACGTACTATATAAAGTATCGATGGGTTGAGAGGTACCGAGGCGGACGAAAGAAAGTTTAACGCGTAAACGATATCGGAATAACCGTAAAGGTGTACCACCTTTGCACATCGGACACCTGATCGACTCTAGTACTCTTGAAATTATACATATTTTATAAGTAACAATGCAATATTGACGTTCATGCATATTACTGTCAATCTGTTACTGTTTGGATACTGCTGTATTGGATCTTACAGAACTAAGTTTAATCGCATCATTTCATAATATCTATATTTGCACACTGCAGTGAAACGTCTCTTTGAAATACCACTAAGTTTTCTAATTTATTTATCAAGAAAGAGTACAACTGTTCTTATGCAATTTATCAAAATGTTCCTCCATTAATATAAATACTTAAAGCAACATTAAAGTCTGAAATATTCCAGAGATCTACAAATGCGATTACTGCCAAATCTTTCTGTAATAAGAAGTAGGGCATTAAGAATCGAATCCTTAGACATTAACCTCACATTCACGATTCTTATTGGATAGAAGTTCTAGTTTCTACAGTATCGGAATCGCTCTGTATATTCTTCGACGAATTAACTTTTAATACTAAAGCTATTGATATTTTCTTACATCACTGAAAAGATGCTTCATTCGATGAACCGATGACGAAAACCATACTTGCGTGAACGGAGTAGCGTCAACAAAGAGCGTAGGAATCCAGCGCAAATAAGAATTAGGACAATGGCAATCGAATCCGAGATTCTTACTAGAATCTTGGTGGCCTGATTCTGGTTTCGGTTTAAACGAAGCACGACTCTTCTTTCCTCAATTTCTCGAGTCTCGTTAGCTGTATTCTCGAGGTGCTTAATTACTATTGATTGAAAAGATGTACCGTCGTTCTAGAAACGAGGATACACTTCGAAACCTACTCGTGCGCTATTACGAGTACTTCGGATAAATACTTGAACTTAATTTTAAATAATTTCTTAGTAGCAAGAAATTTAACCTAACTAACCGTAAGACGTTACACAACTACGGTGGAAAGACAGTCGTGAAAAGAATTTCACCGAGAGTATAAGATTCTTGGTACATTAAGGACGATGGAAAGCGACAACGCGTAAAAAAGGAGTCTTTTATCTTCGGTATCCGTTAGAACCGGAGGATTACGCAATTAGCGAAGATAACCATTTACACGGTGAGCTAAGACGAATAATAGAGGAGAAACTCTATGGGCTTTTGTAAACGTAGCTCCGGAATGTTTTCCCATCAGTGTCACGTTTTCGGTACGCAATCAACGTGTTGCAGGTGATACGCGGGGGTTATGTAACTCTCTAACTCGTGACGAAAAGGTATTCCACTGCTAATTGCGAGTGAATCAGGAAACTAAAATCGATTCCTATTCCGTGGAAAATGCCTACTTTATTAAATCTCGATGATCAAAATGTTAGTTTAACTAATCGATCGATGAATGTATAGATTGAACCGAATTCCGAACACTTGTTGCTGGCAACCCTTTCACCTCAGCGTACGTGATGACAGGTCGATTTTTAGGACTTCGTAAATAATGTGTTTTAGATACTATTAGAAAAGAGTCATTATGATTCGTATTGCGATTTAGTAGATCGGTGCAAGTGGTTCATAAATGGAGCAATAAACAGAGAGGTCGAGGAGGTTCACCAGAGGTCTGTCATCCTAATCTACCACCGAAATCTAATCTAATCTATCAGCGAAGAATTTAGTCATAACTGTGGTATGTGTGTGTGTATGTATTATGTAATTGTATGATCGACATGGGTGCATAATATGAATGAAGCTTGCGTATGGTATGATTGAAGTTTGCATGTAATGAAGATTGCTAGAAGATTGTCCTTTTGGTGTGATCGAATGTTTTCGGAGCAAAGAGCGCATTGCTTCGTGAGAGATTGTGAGATAGAGACGTGGAAATTCGTTAATTCGTGAAGTTCCATTTGTGTTGCATTTAATTAATTATAACCAGTCATACTTTGTTAATAAATATCATTAATCTTTCTAATTATTAAATATTATTATACATAACAAATGCGAAGTTCTCCTGTTGCGCCAAAAGTGTAAAAAATCGCGCCACCCTATCGATTGCACCCCGTCATCCGCCATCCGCGAGAATCTTCTGCACAGTGTAAGCGAATACTCGGCTTGAAACGTGAAAATGTACACCGTCACTGTAAAACGATACGCCAAGAGACGAATTGAAACCGAACGAGCAACGGATGAGAAGAAAGACGTACGGAGCACGATCGACCAGCAAACGATTCATAAAACGATCGCGTCGCAATAGAAATGGCACGCGCGAACGCGTAACAGTTACTCCGTTAACGATGTCTATATCGAGGTACGTTGCGCGCGTATGCACGTAACGGAGTTGCAAAGAATCGTAAGTAAATTGGTCGAAGCGTAATAACGTCGGAGAGAGAAAGGGCACCGTTAAAAGACGAAGGAAACGAGAGAGAAGGAGAGACCCGAGGGGACGGTACGTCACTTCCGGTCCATTAAGAGCAACACGGGGGTCACTGGTGTTGCACGCAGGGAACTAATTACAAGAAAGATAGTGGCTCTCATCCGAGATAGTAGAACGAACAAGATTTCTCGATAATCGATAATCATATTTTACTCCTTTTCACTTCTCCTACCACCTTTCATCGCGTTTGTCGGCGGTTGAGAGAAAGCGAGCCGATCGATAATTTATACAGGATGACTCAAGAGGAGCACATCATAGAACACGTTTCCTGAAAAAGCTCGAATAAATTACTCCCAGTAATTTACTCGGTTAAGATCGCGTTATCTTCGTACTCGACGAAGATGTTTCGTGCAAGGAACGCATAATGCGTAACTTTCCGACTTGACTCCTTATGATACCGGTCTTGGACACTCCGTAGTAGAAAGAGGATAAACGGTTACCTGATTTGCGTGTGATAAGCAGGGTCCGTGTGTTCGGTGTGCGTGGTCAGGAGTTCTGCTCCAACAGGGTCCATGTCGATGGGTTGAATCCTCGATATCGCGATAGGCTGCACCTGAAATACGCCGGGCGTTGTCGGTGAAGGTTGTGGACCTAGCAAAGAGACGCGTACCATTTCCCTACCTTCGCTGTAAAAGAAAAAGAAACATTTTACGTAAAATACGAGGTCGTGAGAGTACTTTGCGCGAAACCGTGATCGGACAAGTTAACCCCCTGCGGTATTTTGCTAGATTAACCTCGCGTTACCATTCCCATTTCATGGAAATTAATTCCGATCGGAGTGGTACTCGTGAAGGGTTAACTTTGACTTTTGATACGGCGATATTCCGTGGGATCGGATATAACGGTACGACTGGTAAAGGTCGTGAAACTGTAGCACGAAAACGCGATTAGCTAATGGTAATTTATCACGAGCAACTTTCTTCTTTGGTAACGCTCTTACAGTCATCGACTATTTCGTTGCCTTCACGTGTTGCACGAATGGCACCCTGCCAAAAGGGAGTGCTGACACTTGCCAATTTATCGGATTACTTGATCGCCGAATAGATAATCATCGACGTCGATAACGTCGAGGGGCCACCTCTGAGGCTTCAATAATAGAAACTATTTTCCTCTATAATAACAGCGCTAAAAATAAAATTGCTTTCAATACGAAATTTAATTTCTAAAGCGAGTTTACAGGTAATCTGGTGAAGCGCTGCACAGGGAATTACGTTATGAAGGCACAATTTGCCGATGAATAAATTCCATTAGATAATTTAAAAAATTTTGAATAACATCTATAGTATTTTTTGTTCTCGCTGAACTGGTCGTTCGAGTACGAGGGGTTGACGTGAGTCAAGTTTGAGAGTCGTCGCTCTCGCTGCAATTTGCACCCCTCGCGAGAACTTCTCGCACGAGTTTTATTCTCGAGTGGACACGCACCCCGAAATAATAAGCGCCAACCGCATTTCGGCGCTCCGCTTTTCGAATTATTCTAGCATATTCTCGATGTTGGAAAAATCTTCCTCCTACAATTCCCTGTTGGCAACTTCCGCTGGAGCGAAAAAAGCGGAGAAGGTAGTTTCACCGAGCAATAAGAACGAAAGAAACCGAAAGGACCGAGAAACAAAGCTCGAAGTCTGGCTCGAAACCGGTTTCTCATCGTGCCACGGTCACGCGCGACTTTTCATCCTGATGCAGCCGGTTACGAAGAAATCGATCTTGCGACGATAATACGCGAGTGTTACGCGCGTTGAGCGAGAGAAATCGACCCACGTATGCACGCTTTATCCAGTGCTAGACTGCGTTTACGCGTCACAGGGGGAGACAAGAAAAAAGGAGGAATAGAAAGTATTTTATTCCAGCGTCGTCTCCGATCTATCGTGGTCACTCTTTTTTCCCAACACCCACATTCGATGCGTTTACTTCGTTAGAACTGACGTCATCGAGCAGTTAAACACCTACTGTACGATTTAAAGTTCAGACCTTGAGCTCGTGATATCATCCCGCGCCGTAGTGGTTCTTGGTATGCCAAAACATTTTTGCGTATTTACCGCACTCTTTTTCGAGTCCTCTTTAACCGGCGTCCTCAACTCTTCCAAGGCCGCCGAGACGATTTAAATTTAACGTTAGACTCGTTCTTATTTTTGTTGGACTCTTCGGTGCGCTAGAGTCGAGTTCAACGTACGTTTATCGTGAATCAATTAGATCGAGAGAGCAACGTCTTACGTAAGAGACGTTTTAATAAAATATTAACCTAATTCGCGGCGATTATTTTTTACGTTAGAAAGATACCGTATTGGCATCGATCATTCGACGAGCAAGGGGCGGATAGTCGGTGGATACGTGGGCGCCATTGCGTCTATAACCCGACGAGGTCGATTCTGTATACTCGCTTCGGAGAACGGTCAATGATATCAAGAATAACATCAATTTCTAAGCGGTGCAAAAAAAGTACGCTCAAACTAGTGGCAATTTCTATCTTCCATTAATAACAAAATTATCATTAACACTAAACCTACCGGCTTATAATGTGTATTTAATTTGAAATTAAAAATGAAGTTAAAAAATAAATAACAAACGACGAAACATAAATTAGTACACACATTTATTCTTTATCTTGATGAAAAGCAATTCTGATTTCAACGAATGTATTTTAACAAAATGTCTACCTTATAATAAGAAACTTGTGGAGCGGTCATTTGACCGGTTTGGTAGTTTTAGTGTTAACAAAGTTTATTACGGATTTATTTTATAATTAACCTTCTGAACATCTATGTCGAGTATGGCTCGACGTCACACTTCTCATGGATCTCATAAATAATTCACATAGATTGGTTGAATATGTATATTATCATTTATTTGCTACTTGTAATATAGAAAAATGTATTTCACATACTACGTCCTATTGCAATGCATTTTATTGAGAACCCCTTAATCTATTTTGTAAATTAAAGAGCAGGTAGGTGAAGAAAATTGAAGAGTGCAAAGGTTTTACCAAGTAAAGAAACCTCCAAATGAGTTCAGAGGAAAATCTATGCTGGCCATGGAATTAAATGGCGAAGAAAATCGTGCGATTAGAAAGTAGAGCAAGATTTAACGAGGACGATCAATTCGATAAATATTCGATCCGTCACGCGGTGTAAATAATCGGCTCGACATTGCGAACCGGTCAAGATTAACTTCACTCGGTGTTTTCCATTCTGGAGAGCAACAACGATCGTGTCTCGCTTTCTGCTCGTGCGTATTTTTAACTCCTTACGCTCGACGGAATTTATGTAACGATATATAACGCGTATGCGATCGGCTGTGGGGGACGAGTGTGCGAAAAGTCAAATGGGATCGTCTCGAGTTTGTGCACCACGACTCGCCGCAAACACCCACGCGCGTCGCATCAATTTGTATTCATAACCGGCAAGGAATTTATTGCTGGAGCCGTCTTTTCGTCTCTTCACCGAATTATCGATAAATTCCATTACATAATCTTTATAGATACAACGATTTCATTACTGCGCGATTAAGTTCGAGTGGCACTTCAGAAAAAGCGGGTGGACAATTTCGTGAATAAAATATTCGATGCAATATTTTTTAACTTCCATTCGGACATGCTAATGTAAAGGCTGTTGCCTATTTAACAGCACGGCACCTGAACGCTATCAGATCGACACCGATACATTCGTATTATGTTCTCTTGCCATTAAGAGAATGTATCAAAGTGAATTCAACGCAGTTTAGATACTCAAAGTACGAAATTCATTGTAACGTACGCTTGTAGTAACTTGTACTATTTCCTACATCATCAAATTTCCTATAACAGTTTATTTGACAATAGCGTTCGACATGTACTACCATGCTACGCCTGACCGCCCGACAATACGGTGCTTAAATTTATATTGTGACGAAGCTGAGAACAATCGTCCCACAGTTATACAACATCGAAGCGATTTTTGTATCCAGCCCGTTACGAAACATGAGTTTTACATATCGCTTCCTGGAAAATCGCTTCTGTGAAATTTGAGGAAATATTGCAAATGTTGAATTGGAGGAACTAGTTGAATTTCGGTAATTGTGTGTACGCGGATAACGCACGGTTTCGTTAGAAAAATCATGATATCCAAGCAAAGATAACGTCACTATCTTTGCGAGCTAAAGATTCGACTTCGCTTCGATAAGGTTTAAAAAATATTTTGTCAAGCTCGAGTTCTTCCGCGGAACGGAGTAACTTTCTAACAAAAACGTTGCACTTTTAGAAAGTTTAGAAACTTGAAAAGTATTTCAAAATTCTGAACAAGTATATTAATTAGGTGATTATCACCGATATCTCGAGTGTTGTACAATTGCACAATTAGATATAAAAAAAGAGAAAGCTGAAGATACCAAAACTGAAAGTTTCGGTTTGAAAATGAACCCACTGCACCGGTGATAATTAGCCTCGTAATCTTTACACGAGTATCTACTCGTACAAGTAAATTAGGATACTAATTCGTGTTATATGTTAATATTTCATTGTGGAATATCAGTTTCTCCGAAAACTAGGCTAGCTTGTGCATAAGAGTAGCAATGAAAGCAAAGCACCAGGTTAACGCGAAAACGTTACCTGCTCGAGTGGAGGTACCGGTTTTAACAAAAGGAAAATCCAAAGGTTCCGAAAGAAAGGGTCGGTAGTGTGTCAAGATGGCTCGTCGCCATGGTAACTGGCCAGAGAGTACTTTGCTCTCTTTTACATTTTCTCCTTCTCCCCTGTAACTACGACGTATCTCCACCTTCCCCTTTTTATTAGATACATCAGTTTGTCCCGTTAAACGAGCTTTTGAACGAGGGATCGATTGACCAGAGTACGACACACGATACGATTCTCGTCGACGCGTAAATCTCGAAGCGCGTGCGGGACTCGGCGATAAAACGCACGCGAGCTAATCTTCCATCGCTGCGCTTAAAATAGTTCGAAAAACGAAGGGATGATGGGACGAAAAGTCGTCGAAACAACCTTGATTCGATTGCGTTCCAAAGAATCGACCAATCGAACTCCCCCCTCCGAATCCGTCACGATTTCGTCGCAGAAACAAACACGAAGTAATTGCGTGCAAACCTACCTGACAGATGAGAATCCGTCAGCTTCCCGTTGCCGCGGCTCGGGAACAATGACGCGATGCTCCGGTAAATACTACTGGCATGCAAGTTCTTTTTACCCCGGTGACCTTCGATCAAGTTCAATCGGCGTGATGTCGCACGATATACGCTACACACTCGCGAAAACGGAAAAGGCTGTTGACCGTTGCCCGGGCACGACACGTACTAAACTTCGAGCGTTCGGCGAAACTGAGCTGGTACGAATCGCGAAATCGATCGTAAATCCTCGGCACCACGCCTGTGCGTTCGTAAACCTCCCTCGCTCCACCTGGTCACGCTCCAGACTGAGCAACCAAGCAAACCTCGTACGGGACAAACAGCGACGCTGCTGCGCTCTCGCGTCCATTTCGGCAAACTCCTTTTAACCTTACACACGCCCCGATACATTTAAATATCAATTTCGATACTTTTCTTATTCGTTTCGTATCGCAAATGCGCGACAGTTTTGCATGCTCTTCGCATCGCGTAATTCCTCCAACACGATAAGATACGTGAAGTATGCTGTCTATTTTTGATTCGTTATAATCTACGTATTCGAGGGAGTGGGGAATGTCCGAAATTCTCTTGGACATCCCGGCCTATGACCTAAATTTCGCAATAATTGTTTATGGTACGGTTATTACCTCATTGTTGTAGCTACAATGTCTCGTTTAAGCGTACAGTAGTGCTCAAACGTAGTAATGTTAGATCGATACTGCTTTTCATTTGCATAGCTACAAGATAGCATCGCGGGTAAAGATTCATATTTGCCAGTGAGTAAATTCTTTTGTATGTCGTCATATCTTACCCACGGGTAGCCACGGCGTGTTTTAAACCTTTCCAGGAATGATGTCAATATCATTACCATTTATGTTAACGTACCGCTTCTTGCTTTAAGGATCCTTATTAGACAGAAGCTTGTTTTGCAGCGTATTCGTGACTGAAAATGTAGTGGTATGCTCTCTCAAAAAATTCTGCGTAGTATTGTTTGTTCGTATTAACGAAACCTGATCCTAAATGTAATTCCAGAGCTATCAAAAATCGTCATTAAGTATTCCGAGCGTGCTGTCTGTCGTTTAACCGGATCAAACGCGATAATGATCGTGCCGAGCGATAAGTAGAAGTCTATTAGGAAGACCGCGCGTGGGCGGAAGCGTCTAAATCGCCAGACTACGACTCTAGTGACGTCTGATTCCCCAGCTTCATTGATGGAAAGCGGAGAAACGTTTTCTCCTTTTCTCCTTCGATAATAATGCTTAATTTTCGCGTTATCAATTTGAGCCGGTCAAATAATTAAATGGGACACTGCCGAATACTATTAATAAATCATATTGCGACGATTAAAGACCCGTTTCTCGACGTGAAAAAAGTAAAGAGAAGCAAACGGATCATCTAAAAAGTATAGACAGACTGTCGCGTCTCTATCCCCATTACATCGTGAAATTGCTAGTTCGATAATCGTCGATGACTCAACCACGCGTGAGTCATCGCAAGAAAAACAAAATTCCTATATATTTCATTTCAGTGCTGTAAAACCATTATATTCGAATTACCGAGGTTCATTACGACAGAAACGATACTAAACACGACTACGTTTAAACGATTTTTGGGCAAACGACCCACCCCTACGATAGTTTACGAGGTACTACCGTGTGTCAGCAGCAGCTGCGTCACGTGACACGCTAGCTCTCCGCGCATGCGCAGACGAGTATATAAAAACGTGGCGCGAAAAATTACTTACTCGGTATCAGGTACAGGAGCAATTAAGGAGGGTACGCGTCCGTTGTGGTCCAAGAAACGATTGATCTCCGGCTCCTCTTGAACAGGTGTCTCGTATACCAGAGTCTCTACCATGGATCCTTTGCTCGAACCAAAGGAAACTCTGCAAAACATACAAACACCGTTTCAGCGTATTCTTCGCAAAATGGAAGAAGCCTCGGTACGAGTGGATGCGAACGCAGCATAGGAACAACCATGGACGCAAAAGAAAAAAGTATCGGTCTTGCGTGGAAAGCGGTAAAAATAGTTGCCGTAAACCTCAATTTCCTATCGCGTGACAGCACTCGAAGCGAGTGAATCGGACACTCGGTAACCGCAACAGCGGGCGGTCCGATATCAAAATCGAAATCCCACGATCGAGGTATCGAATTACGGCGATCAAGCGCGGCCGATATTAAAGCTACGATCGTCTATCTTGCACGATGTACGCACAGGTTACTTCAAAAACGTTGCAGAAAAATGTCACTCCGTTTATCGAACACTCGATCATTATTCGTGTAAGAGGCAATTTTTCTATTAGAAATAAAACAACCAAATTACTGTAGAGCCGATTGAATTTTTTTTTCCAGAATTAAAAATTTTTCAACACTATGGTTACATTTTTTTTCTATTCCTTTTTCGAAACCGGGTTCTGTTCCAGACTCGAGCGGGTGACGGCATGGTGCTGCCACGTGGCGGGAAGGTTACCCAACGAAGTAGCTCTGGACAGGGTAATACAGGGACAAGAGGCAAAAGAAGCGGTAGGCACGTGGCTCCCCAGTGACATTCTGCAAGTACTATCAGCCTCGTAGACGCGCATGAACTCGGACAGATGTGTGCAGACCCTTTTCGACTCGGGTCCGATCTGTGTCACCACCTCAAATTGTTCCCGATGACGTAACCGTAATTGCCGATCGTCCACCCACGCGTCACTTTCTCGTTTTCTTCGAAAGCGGAATTTATCCATACGGATCTTACATCAATGAACACACGCGATCGTCACGCGCTCGATACATTAGTCAAAATTTACTTACCCAATTAGTGTACTCGTACATTGGTCAGTAAGCACGTAGAAGCATCGCAACGCAAATAAAAGAACGAAATCGAATAGAAAATAAATCGTGATAACCTTCGGATAATTTTAACGACCTCACGGTTGTTTTAACGATAGGAATTTGGTCCGCGTCAAAAGTACTGGATAGTTTCATCGAACAGCTAATCAAGCAGAGTACCATGTGGGAGAAGCCTCCTCCCCTTTACAACGTCATCGTATAATGGTTGAATTTGTTTGAGATTCGTTCGAAGGTTGTTTCGTTCGTCGATAATTAAGCTCGAGTTAAAATTTTCAATTTCCGAAGTCGTAAACGTGCAATTTAATCAACGTATCGTTATACGACTCCATCGTGTGCGTATTCTGATCTATGAATGAAATCGACGAAAATTCGAACATCAAATTAGGCGCACGACAACAAGTTAAAACGTAATATCTTGAGAAATGACGAAATACACGCGTCAGAATGATGTGCTCGTTTTCGTGGAAGTAACGTCGGCTATAAGGTCTATACGCGTTAGGCTTTGATTCGAGCAGGGACCACGAGACGTGGAATGGCCGTGACCTAGCCAACACGTAAATGTCACGAGAGCTTCAGCAAGATGTGTCGTAAAAGACGACGTATAAACCGGTATGGTATAACCATCATCCACGGACGCCGAGAACTTCGATCGTGTGTGTTTGCTCCCCAAAGCATTGTTCAATGAAACGTATTTACATACGAATCGTTAGTTGAACTTTCTTTCCGACGGCGATAATGCCGCTACATATTTAGAGAAGTCGAAGAAACTACATGAGTCAGACTGATCGTCGGTGAACCGTAACTTTTCTTTCTCGAACGCGAGAGGTGTTGTTCCGTTGTTAGAAATAGAAAAAGACGGGGCTGGTACAATGGCTGTTTTTCGATCTGCCAGGTAATTTTAACTCGACCAACGCTTCCAAAGACGTTCTACCTTGACAGTGAACGGAGTCGTCACGACTTTCCGCCACCGTTCTATGTTGAGCCGCGTTAAATCAGCGCCCGTAAATCATTTCAACCTCCGGTTTTCTACGCGTGTATTTTTGCCTCTGACCAGGTGATTTGAAAGTTTCGACGTTTTGACGACCGGCGTCGTTTCCATCTCGTTACCCTTTACTCCGTTTCTTCGCGGAAAGTTCGTCGTATGATCGAGGTAATAAAATATAAACATTCCGCGGAAAGGAATCGAAGAACGATAAAAAGTTTTTACAGTTATTCTTTCTTGTACGATAGGAAATCGTATCGCGATCGAATAAAAAATCAATTGCAGGTGTAATATACAAAGTTTTATCTTGTTGGATATCTACGATAAAGTGAAAAGAACGATAAGAACGATCGTTCAAGGTTAGAACGATAGGCGTCGATGGAAAATTGCCAGAAATAGCAAAGAATCCGTGAGAGTTAATCGGTCGCGCGAGTTTGATATACCTCGAGAGAAGGTTAAAGACCCGGCGAACCAAATTAGAAAGGTGGTCTAGAATCACCTCTGAACTCTTTGCTACGTCATTATCTCTGTCTCTATCCCCGGATATAGTATTGCTCCTTTAAATGGCAAGATTCCTACCTTTCCAAGTGACAACTTACCGTTCTCTCCATTTCTCTGCTCCGCAAATGTAGTACTATTTTCAGCCGGAGTTACGATATTGCCTTTTCGAACGACAATACGCGAACTTAAACTACCGACCGGTACAAAGGTAAGTAACGTTCGCAATTATTTCCTTACCTCTTTAGACTAGTGTGCTTCGCTCCGTTGAAGATTTTATTCTTCCGATCGCTGCCGACCGTGCTGGCCTCGCTGTTGATGCTGTACAGGCTGTCATCTTTAGCAACCTTCGACGCGTGCAAAGTTGATTTTTTCACCACGGTCCCGTTATGCTTCGGGCTTTCGTTCGTCAGCGGCTGTTGCTGCTGCTGTTCGTTCTGCACCCGCTGATCACCGCCATGCTCGTCGATTTTCGAGACGATCATGGTTTTGGCCGTGTCGGTGTACTTTTTCGGTGAAACAGTGATTACGTTGCCAGGTGGCCTCGAGGCGAACGAACGTTCCTTCGGACTCTTCTGCAACTTGCTAGCACGAAAGTTGCCTTGACTCGAGTCTCCCGGTGGTGGCTTGTCCTCCGTTGGCAGCATATACGATAACATCGTCCTTTCGCCGTTCACCTGTGAAAAAAGCCAACCAATTATGACGACCATGAGCTGACTAATCATACACCGACTCCATAACGCGACATTTTTTTGCTCCTTTAACTAACACCGCTATATCCTGCCAGCGCAGCTTTTATCTTCGTGTTTGCTTTCGTCGCTAACGCTTACAATTATTACAATCGGTGCTCGTAAGAGGAGGTAAGACAAGGTCTAACTCTTTTTTCGACACTTCTAATGTAAGACCAGCACAATGATTAGTTAATGGTCGAGCTACTCTGATTCGTTATAAATCTCGTCCTAACGCTCGTCCGGTCTAGATTGAGTCTGCTCGAGCGACTCGGCAAAGAGGTCGCGCTTGAATTACCAATCGGAACTAATTACGCCGACAGCCGTGAGTTAATATCTGTAAACGCTCCAACGATCTCTACGAAACGCTTTCTTTTCCGTAACGGATCGACGTGGTCGCGTAACTGTACAAACGCCGTGATGTACCTCCATTCGAACGAATCGAAATCCCATCGCGAACAACGCGTCGATTCATCGAAAATCCCTGACGGGATTAAGAGTTCTTCGCCGGATGATCGTTGGTGGAGCAAGAACCTTTTGGACCGAGTTCAAGAGGTTCCTTAACGGCTGAATTTCTGGCAATGAACTATATGTGTACACAGGGGAGAAAAAGGTGCAGAGGAGAATAGAATGTCCAGAACCGTGACGCGAATCCAGGATGTTTGGTGATCGTGCTCGACAAGGTTGAGTCGTGTGCAAAGGATGCGTCAAGATACTGCTACTATCGTGGAAGGCGTTCGAGGAGAAAAGGATAACACCGCTGAAAAGGACATCGGCTTACGTGTACAGCAAGAAGTACATTATGTATCTTCGGTCTCTAAAGACGTTCCTGAAAATTTTAACTCCATTCTCATCAACAATTACGCCACTGCAATTTCCCTTACGGCGTCTTTAAATAATTAACCCCCAAAGACGAAAGAACCAACAGAGACGCGGTAATGATCACTTGTTCAAACAAATTTAAAGAAGAAAGAATAAAAAGGGTTTCTTGTATCCCCTCGTTTCGGTCGAATATTTTAATTTCATTTCAGACTTGCCTTTGAACACGTAAACGACGACGACGCACGCGAGCGTGCACGGTTTGATCGTTTTCGGTAAGTCACGGGTTTTCCAGGAAGAAAAAAGAGGGGATCGAAGAAGGGATCGATCGTACGCGGAAGAAAAGGTATTCCGGCAGGGTTGCTACGAGAACGGCTGAATGCAACTGGCGAGGGACCACGAGGAGAGGAGAAAACCGAGCCAGAGGTTAAAGAGAAATGGCGGCGCAGAGCGCTTCTACCTACACCACCGTGTTCCAAACTTGTACGAGCTTTTGCTCGCGAAACGACGCCTAAACTCGTTCGATTACACCGGGCAGCCTGCAATATACATGCATGCAACGTCTATATCGGAACGGCCGTTGCTTTTCTGCCTATATCGACTCGCTCCGCAACGATCGAGCCACGTGCAACTTCCGAATCGCACTCGCTTTCCTCTTTCCTCGCCCCTTTTTCCGATGCACTCGAGGCTCCGTGCGCCGCGCGGCGTCAAACTTTCATGCTCTCGACATTTTTAGTTCGTACTCGCATCGCAAAGGCTACCTCGGAAAAGATGCGCAGTTGCAATTTTTCGTATCAAAGGGAACAGAAAAGAATTTTTAATTCGGATTTAAATGTTAATCAGCGAGAAGCGAAACACCGAGGACCATTTTACTCTTCAGCATACTTACGCTCGTACCAAGAAGCTCTCGAGACGGTGCTTTTCAGGAGAGTCGCGTGCTGGACTGGCATTTGGTTTATCTGCAAAGCAAACAGATATTTTCTGTTAGAATATCAACCGATGCAACTTTAATCCGTTACGTTTAGCAACTTCGAGCAAACTTGACGTAACATCGTGTTTACACAACGAGTACTCTCGTAAAAACGTAACCTTGTTTACGCTAAATAAAGTCTTTAGGGAGAACCGATTCGAGAATTATGTCCTGTTATCAGTCTTCCACTCTGCCGAGCGTCGGTAGCACTGTGCAGGATGATAAAAGAAAGGAAGAGCGTTTTGTCATGGACCAGCTAGCAGACTGGTAAGGTTAGCTAGCAGGACCGCGCTTTAAGTGCAGTGAAAGATTGTTCGAGCGATTGCTGGAGAACTCGAGGTAGCAAAAGCGAGATATTAGCGTTCGCTTCGCTGGACTTCAACAAAGTCGTACACACAGGGTGCGACTAAATAATACAATGGGTGTTTCAGATGTAACAAATTCACAAGTTTCGTAGAAGGTAATGGATCGCTGAGCGAGGACTCGCGAGAAAGTTGGTACGGATGTCCCTCTGGTGACGAGCGTCCTAAGTACCGTTGCTTTGGTTATTATCGGCGTTACGAAGACTATTTTCTCGCGTTCGAAGGAAAGCTGCTCGGATAAAGGTGGTATTATTCGCGAAGCGACGAGATGCTCCCGCGGTACGCTATCTTCAACCCTGGCCCGTCCATTCACCACTCTTTTTCCAAGGTGCAATGCGTCAGCAGGCGTGGCAGGGGACGAACGGGAGAGGAAGCGATCTCGCCGGTTGAATAGGCACCTGTTTTCGCAGACAGGTGACACGAACACGAACACGCGTACAACGCAACCCTGTATGCAAACGCGTGAGAACCTCGGGAATAGAGCGAGGGCAATGACTCGTAGGACAGCGCGGGTGCGACGACAGACGAATGTCGACGTCGAATGGAAGAAGCTTCCTCGACGTCTTTCTTGAAAAAGAGTACCTTCGACCGTCTGCCTAAGCTCTCCTACGCTCGGCGGAGGTATAAACCTACCTCTACTCGAGGGACCCGCCCTTAGAGAATCGCGTTATTCCGTGATGCGTTTTTTTCGTGTCTCGGTTTCCTTCCTCGTTTCTCGCTGCTTTCCGAGAACGTACACCCTATTGTTACCAAACGGTTAAGGCGGCATTGTCTACCAACTTGTTGATACGCTCGCGGAGTGTTTACGATAAGCAATTAGGAATACGATGATCGTGCAGCAGATCCGCGACTGTGTTGCACGGCAATTGAGCGTAGTTCGGTGCATCCACTTGTTAAATTGATAAATTTGCATGACTCGCTATTCACGGACAATCGTTGCACGACGCACGAACGATTACGCTCGCAATAGTCTCTCCGGTTACGAGGATCGCACGCGATTCGCCTTGCGTCCCGACGAACGTCAGCTTCGATCGAGGTCCGCGTGATTTAATTACCGCGAACGAAACTAGCTACTCGCTCGGTGAATTAGAATCACCCCTTTAGAGCAGAAATATTAATTTACCGTGGGGTAATTGGAGTCTAGATTACGGCACAGTCTACGGTCCAGTGTGCTCGACAAACGCTCCGAGTTTATTTTCTTCCGAGAAAATTGACCACGCGATATTCGGGGACACCCCGTATACTCCATTAAATTTCAAGTTCCATTCACGAGGTTGCATGGCAATTAGGGTGGTCGCTCATGCGAAAAATTCGCGACAGTCCTCGAAGCGATCAGTCGAGTCGGTACGAATCAATCCAGTGAAGCTTTTGCTGTAAATATCTGCACACCGGCGTGCCATTATTTATTAGCGAAATGACGCCAGCTATCAAAGTATTAATTAACCGTTAGAAAAGATAGGATAGTCGCGACGGAAATACGTTAACAGACGTCTAAAAATAAGAATGCTACGAGAAAATAAAACGGTACACGATACCGCTAACAACCCCATTGCTTTTCTAAGGTTAAGCGTATCGTTGCACTCGTTGAAATGATCCAGCGTACAAGTATACATAGTTCAGACAACGAAACGATTCGAAAACGTTTACTTCCGGCCACGAACTTCTAACGTTACATCGAACGAGATTTCCGGCACCGTGACTTCCTGCCGCTTAACAAGTTCCGTGCCTTTTACAACTTTGAAGACGCTTACGAAACAACGAGCGCAAGAGAAAATAAAAGTCGATAATGCTATCTATAGCTGATGTGCTTATTTGTTGCACGGCCAAGTTTGTTTGATCGAGGGGAAAAATTTACGAGAGTAAATTCTTGGCACGTGCTATTCAAGCATGTTTAGATTAAAGATTTAGAATAGAGACGTTCCTCCTGCCTTGAAAATTTTTTTCGAAATAGTAAGAATCGGCAGGAAGAAATTTAACCGTTTGCGTACCACGAGCCACTTTCGCGCTCTTCAGATTTTG